GAGAAACTCATAGCTTGGCAATGCAAGGTAATTTATCATCATTTATCGTCATTATATTGGAAGATACTCCTTGCAAAATGTTACTTGATATTGTAACATTGTGGCTTAGAAAATCAGCTTCTCAAATGTTCCCTACAAACCCAATGTGCCAATCCAACATGCCTCCTTTCTGCAAGTTGCACCTGATAATGCACTGTTTTGGTGTTTTGCTCTCAGACCCCTCAGGGTTTCCAGAAAACATTCATATGCTCTCGGATTCTCTGAAGTTCTCACTTATGACTCCATGATTCTGTGCTCAGCCTCTGCTCTATGGGAATATCTTTACACAGGCCATGAGAAAACCCAGCTGCAGAGGAAGATTGCTAAGGAGTCCCCAGACACATGGCTTCAAGGAAACAAATGATTGCTAAGGAGTCCCCAAATCAGGTACCCCCACAACTTCAGAGGAAGCACTGGCAGTTAAAAGAAAAAAAATTAAGACAACTCACAAAACTAAAATTGTAAAAGTTAAAGTTCACTCATCTTTTAAGAAAATCTCTAATATACATATAAATGTGTGTATAGAGACAGACTGACAGACATATAGAAATCTAACTTGCTGAATTGTTATTAGAGCACTTTCTACTTTCTCCTCTGACAAAAAAAAATGGTATAAAATAAAAATGATGAAGGTTATTTGTAGACAACTGACATAATATGCCTAGCTTTCCTAATTGGTTAGGAATTTCAAAATGATCACTAAAGGGTTAGATATATCAAAATGTTTTCAAATACTATGTTAAAATACTTCTCTTCAACCTAGGGATTTGCCATTTTAGTGAAATAGTTTCTCTGCTTTTTTTTCACCCTTTTGAAAAGCTACACTGAGCAATGAGTCACCAGGTGATTTCTTTATTTCTGAGTTCCATTTCAAAGACAAAAAAAAAAAAAATACTCTTCTTTGTCTTCTCAGATGTACCTGAGCTGCTATTGTTCAAGGTCACGAAGGAGAGACTATTAAAGCAAAAACTTATGCTTTCTTGACAAGGAGCTTTATTACATAGCAGTTTATGTGCATGCCAAACATTTAAGGCAATTTAAATTTTTAGTATCTCCAGAGATCAAGTTAAATGGCTGGTGAAAACTAGTTTTTTAGAGCAGCTTTCATTTCTACTTAATTTATCTGATTAGAGGGTAACAAGCATCATGTTTAAAATATCTGTTGGAGATAACTAGGATATTAAAATATTCTGTTTGCTTTATTTTTCATTATTGAATTCCTAAATAAATATCATTCAGATTCACTATCATCTACTGCTAGCTGATATTGAAAAAAACATAATGGCGGACTGTTGCCATGGTAACCCCTCTACAACCACACGTTTTCTATGGCAACCCAGGCTCCATGGAATACTAATGAAAACCCATAGCAACAGAGAGTCAAAGAGGTGATTTCTGGAGACCAAAAAGCTCATGTAACATTTATTACAAATGTTATGGATGCCCCGTCATATATTTGACAATCAAAATCAGTATTCAAAGGCATATTTACAACAAAACTTAAAAGGCATATTTGAGATCAACTGTTCTGAAAAGAATAAAAATGAATGCTATGGTATTTTTAAAAAATCTATATTGATATACTAATAAATGTGAAAATGTGTAATTCATACTTTCAAACCACATTTTTTAATAAATTGGATATATATTTCCCAAATTGCAGAAAAAAATAATGACATGCTACAATGTTAGATAAACCTAGCAATTTAAGAACATTTTGTTTAGATTTTATTCCGTTTTATTATATTTATTATTTTATTTTACTTTATTCTTTTCCTAGTCCCTATTCGTTTCAAAATTCCAGTTATGTGACCTATGAAATCTTGTGATTTCTTTTGCAAAAGGATATTATATTTAAAAGATACAAGCCTCTATGACTCCTATTCTATCATTTACCAGCAGATGAATTTGCACAAGTCATTTAATTGAGTGTCAGCTTCTTATCTGTCAAAGGACATGATATGTGTCTCCTCCTCACTACCAATTTGCTACATAATGAGCTAGATATACATGAGCACTCAGGGAAAAAATTAAGTACATTGTCTTAGCTAAAGAAAAAAAACCCAAAACATTTATTTTTATACTTTTATTTTAAAACACTGAAGTTATTTATAAAAGTCCATATAAAAATTCATGTACATTATAAACTATTTTGGTATACAATTATTTATTGAGCACTTACTATGCTATTGATTATTGGTGTGAAAGCAAGAAGAACAAAATTGAAAAGCAGTTTCCTACATTCATCGAGGTTATATTCTAGCTGAGAAGATTACAAAATAAATCAGTACACCGAGTTGACTAAGGTAAGCAAAAGCACTACAAAGGAAACAATGGGTAAAGTGATTCAAAAGGATTCATGGGAAGACATGGGCTAATTTAGGTCAGGTTGCAGGCCAGCCCTCCAGAAGGAAAGCAAGTACAGCTCCCAGGACAAGAAAGAGTCAGCCATGGAAGAGATGGACAGTCAAGCAGAGGGGATAGTCATTATAAGTCCTGGAAGCAGAAACAAAGTCAATGTGCTTACAAAAGCCCAGAGGTCAGTAGGACGAAAGTATAAAGAATGGGGAAAAAAACATGGTATAAAAACAGAGAGGGAGGAAGGGCCAAAGTGGGGCTCTGGTCAAAGAGGGGCATGTTGTTATAACGGTGAACAATTGATTGGACAGGATATCAGACAGGAGGCTGCAAGGTCTCCAGGTGAGAGGTAATGGTGTGACTTATGCCGGGGCAGTGACGCTGTTGATACCAAGAACTAGACATGAATGAGATGTGCTGTCCAGGTAGAGAAAACAGGATTTGCTGATAGATTTTGGTTCAGGAGGTAAGAGTGAGGGGGGATTAGTTATGCCTCCTGGGTGGCTGAGTGATGCCACTTTCTACTGAGGGTAAGTGGGTCTTGGGCAATAGAAAGAAACAGAGAGAAACCACACTCTGTTCTGTATTGATTTGCCTATTAAATATTTTCCCAGTCCACAGTCATTAATTTGTTAACAGTTCATCCTACCTGATTGGTTGGTGTCCATTAACATGAATCCTATAAAAATCCAAAGATTCTTCTTTCAAAATGTGAATCAAAATTATACAAAAAAATTATAAAATCATGATAGAAATAAAACTGTAAAAGTTGATTAAATAATATTCATGTTATAATGAAATAACATATATCTAAATAAATATTAAAATATTTCATTAGTGCATTATAATTAGACATAATGGTGTCGTGACACATTTACATATGCACATAACTTAATTTTCTCCAATTCTTGCCCTGGTCCTTCTTCTTTCCCTTCTCTATTTCCCTTTCCCTAATCTTCTGATACTCTACTTACATACATAACATATTTTTTTCATTAGTGCATTAGGATTGTGAATAAAAGTGGGTTCATTGAGGTACATTTTTCCTGTGGTAAAATTCACATAGAATTCATCATGGAAATTTTGGAAAATATGGAAAAATTTACAGAGAATAATCTTATCTCTAATCCTAGCATCCAGAGATAAAACTTTTTACTATTTTGATGAATATAAATCTAATTTTTTATCATGACATGTTTGACTAGTTTTAGTCAAAACTACCTCAAATTGAAATTTACATCTCAAAAATGTTTAAACAAGAGCTGGGGCTATAGCTCAGTGGTAGAGCTCTTGCCTCGCATGTGTGAGGCACTGGATTTGATCCTCAGCACCACATAAAAATACATACATTAAGATATCGTATCCATCTACAACTAAAAAAATATTTAAAAATGTTTAAACAAGATAGAAAGTCAGAACTCTTGCTTCAATATTATCAAGTGCCTCAGTGTCTCATCTGAACCAAGGAGTCTGGTTAAAGACATAAGAGCCAGGCACAGTGCAGGCACAGTGCTGTAATCCCAGCGGCTTCGGAGGCTGAGGCAGGAGGATTGAGTGTTCAAAAGTGAGGCACTAAGCAACTCAGTGAGACCCTGTCTCTAAATACAAAATAGGGCTGGGGATGTGACTCAGTGGTCAAGTGCCCCTGAGTTCAATCCCTAGTAACAAAAACAAAAACTAAACATAAGAACAGAAGCAGAGGGCTGGGGAGGGCGATGCTCAGTGGCCATCTTCAAACCCTATATCTACCAAAGCACACATTCAGCTCTAAGAAAGTGAGCTTTTTTAAAAACAGCACTTAAACTTCATGCTCTATTGCTTTGTTATTCAAACACTGCACAGTCATTTAGGTGAAAACCAAATTGTTTCTATAACCAGCTAGACACTGACCCTTTAATTATGTTTTCAGTCCCTTCTAATATTTTTCAAAGATAACCTTACATACAGTATTTAAAATTCTATATTACTTCAATAGAGTTCAAAACATTTCCCTTTAAAACCTCAACTGTTACCAAAAGGTAAAAAAAATAAAAGGCTTAGGAAAGGCATATTTTTGTTTAAACTACATAATGTTGATGTGATGTCAATTTTACTTTATGAATTAATTCTGTGGGAACTTCTAAAGTTTTGTTTTAGGGTTATCATCTCCATTAGGCATTTCCAGATAATATTGTGTACACAGATTCTGTACTGAGCCCCAATTTAACACTTTAAATGAAATCAAATTTAAATGTGTAATATCATGGGCTAGACAGAGCTCAGTGGTAGACTGTTTACCTAAGAGAGCAAGGCTTGGTTTCAATCCCCAGCACAATGAAAAAAAAAATTAATATTATTCTCATGAAGTTTAACCTTCCCCCATTTTTTTAAGCCCAAATGGGATTTTTGCCTAAACTAAGGCCAGTTTTAAAAGGTATGCAAAACAATGCCATTATCAAAATGCTGGTTAAAAATACTTGCTAGCATAACTACTGAAAGAATAAAAGACAGCAAAGCTTAGATACTACATTTCATGCAATAACTATATATTAAATAAATCCTGAAAAGATACTCTCTAGATTAAAAGATATATGTCACAAAGATTCCTTTAAAGTTATTTTTGAGAGTATAGCTCAGTGGTAGAGCACCTGCCTGATATGCAAGAGGCCCTGGGTTTGATTCCCAGCACTGCCAAATAATAATAATAACAACAACAACAACAAATAAAATTATTTTTAAATATTATCCTATGGCTAGGAATAATTTATTTTCTAATGATACATTGCTGGAGTTTGTTTTTTCTTTAAGCAAGCACAATGGGTCATTATCTGATAAGTTAAAACAATCAACATTTATACAGTGGAAACTAGTGACTAGGGGATTTCAAAGCATAAAACTTTTGTAATACTGCATAAATATTTAAGCAAACAGAAACAAATGTAAAGATTCAGATACAAAACATTGTCATGATTTGTTTCCTTAAATTTTAACTAGCCAATCCAATAAAACTGAACAAAGATAAAGGATCTGATCTGCGGGGGCTGGAGTGGAAGAGCAGGCAACATCACTCCACCTCCTTGATGCTTTAGATAACTGTTGGTAAAAATTACAACGTATAACATGGTAAAATGAATCACTGTCAGAGGTGATTCCTGGAAGTCCCTACCACCCAAGGACCCAGATCTGATTCTCTCCACTTTTCTCTAATTTTCAAGAGTTCATGTTTCTCTTGAGTTGAAACAACCATGCATGCCACTGAATGTCAGCTATTGCTTTAGACTAACAAATTTTGCCAGTGATGTCTGCCTTGGCATCAAATACTAAGGAGAGCATATTTTAACATCAGATGAGTGAAGAAATAGAATATAAGTTGCATGAAACTCTTCTAAACTCTAGTGCTTTGATTGAAATAAGACATATATCTCGACTATAATAGAGTCTGCATTGAGTTCAATTATATAACTATTTGAGTGGGGAGTGTGCAGCTGCCATGTATTTGCTCATTCCCTGTAACAACCTTTACAACCTACAGAATAATGTAGAAGGCTTGGAATTTACTTTGGAAGATTTTTACTTTCTATTTCTGTTTGGGTTTGTTTGGTTAGTCTATGTGGTTGAACTGAAATCTTTAAAGGCACATGGCAATTCAACAAGAGGGAAACAACAAAAGATTTTCAAGTATTACAAAATTCTTGTACAAACAAACTTCTATTTCTGATTGAGTACAAAACTTAGCTAATAAGGAACATGATTCCAGAATATTATACGAAGTTTGATCATACTATGGGGAGCTCAAGCATTCCTAAAATGTTAATACACAGGGGTCAAACTTCAGGCATATCCCCAACTCCTGTTGAAAGGGGTGGGGGATATGCCTGAAGTTGAGATATATGTCTTAGTATTTCCCCAACCTACTCAACACTACCAGACTGTCTGTATGATGACATAATGAGGGAAGACCCTCATTATGCATGGAGGTGACACCTAAACTCTGGTTACCTATCTATAGAGGGTGGTCTTTCTGAGACTTCCTCAGATTCTTCATCTACTGACTTACCTGTAATTTGAATAAACTCAAGTAACTGGAGTTCCAGCACCAATCATACTACAGTTAACAAAAACATGAGAGCAGCAAACATACCTCATGGAAAAGTCTATATAAAATTAGAACAATCTGAGGTAGAACTCAGGCCCACTCCTTTGAAGGACTGGCAGTCAATAGTTTCTGAACACTGTGTCAGTTTATAGCCAGCTTTATACTAGTGGCTCCAAATAGTTTCTAGAACATTTCAAATATGCTCCCTATACAAGTAAGACTTCAAATTATGAGGAGGCATTTGCTCAAAATGCAAGCACAAGTATGTTATTCAGGACTCAGAATGTTCCAAGTCATTTTTTAAAAATTATTATGTTTAAACCCAAAATATCTCACTAAAAGCTCATTTGAAACAAAAATATCTGAAGTATCAGATTAATAATACTTTAAACAAATATTATAATACATGACCTCAGACACCCTTTCCTCTCATCTCACATTGCAGCATCAGTAAAAGCCTTAGAATTATAGCAAGAGTAGAAATAGAAAGAGGCCAGTGATATCCACAATCAGGACAGCTATTCTGATTTTAACTTTTTTTTTTCTTTTTTTCAGTTCTAGGGATTGAATCCAGGAATTTGCATATGTTAGGAAAATGCTCTACTACTGAGCTACATCTCCAGTCTTTTTTTTTTTTTTTAAGTTTTGAGAGAGGGTCTCTGTAAATTGTTGCCCAGGCTGACCTCAGAACTTGTGATCCTCCTGCCTCAGACTCCTGAGTAGCTGGGATTACAGGCATGCACCACCACACCTGGCTTCAAGGTTGCTTAAGAAAGTATTTGACACAGCCGGATGTGCTGTTGCACTCCTGTAATCCCAGCAACTCAGGAGGCTGAGGCAGGAGAATCACAAGTTCAAAGCCAGCCTCAGCAAAAGTGAGGTACTAAGCTACTAGGTGAGACCCTGTCTCTAAATAAAATACAAAAAAATAGGACTGGGGATGTGGCTCAGCGGTCAAATGCCCCTGATTCAATCCCTTAATACCCCCCGCAAAAAAGGAAAAAAGTATTTGGTACACGTTTAAGCACTTTAACAGTGAAACATCTATAAAAGTATTTGACACCCATTTAAGCTCTTTAATAATGAAACATCTCAAGTTTAAATAACTGCCATACACTTATGATATATGAAAAAAATAGTCCAATATATTTAAATAAGAAATGAAGTTGACACATCATACTGAAAAGAGAAGTAGTTAAAAATTAGTATTATGCTTATTAATGTTTGCTGGCCAGCTGAAAACTTAGATTATTACCTAATATAGCTAAATGATGCTTTTAATAAGAAACAAATTTACTTTACATATCTATGATGAAGGAATTTGTTTTATCGTCCTTTTTAACTTCTTGTTTTGAACCCTTGCCTATACACTAAAGCTTAAATGTTGTAGACAATACAAAGGCCATTTCATTAATCTAGAAGCAGAGGTCCAAAGGGCTAAGTGACTTGACCAAGATCACTCAACCTATTCATCATGAGCCAGCCTGAAAACAGATCCATCTCCAAAGTTTCAGCTCTACTATGTCTTTGACATTGTTTCCCTTCTTCTTTACATAATGGATACATTTTGTTTAAAGAACACTGGGTTTTACAGAACAAAAAACTTATGATTTGCTTTTGTTCTAAGAAAGCAGATGGGCAAGATTAGACCTTCACCCCAAGAAAGCCTGAGTTAATAAAAGCCAGTACAGAGAGAACATCCATCCAGGAAAAAGCAGATCTTGTGTTTAGTTCAAGGAAGACCGCTCCCGGCAGGGCTTTGCCCACACAGAAGTACGGTACCTGCTGTTTAGAAGACAAGAGGGAATCAAACCTATTGAATTTACAAGAATAGAGGAGGCCTCAACCTGCTCTCTTAAAAAACAACAAAAAGTGGCTGTTGCAGTATTTAGCTGCTGAGTGTTAACTCTCAGATGAAATGGGACCCATGATATGAAAAGATTTTGGAAACCTTTGTTAAAGAGTGGGAGAAACAAAGTGGATGAGAAGTTGGTTTTTACAGTATCCCTTGGAATGCAGAATGAGGGGGGCTGGGGTGTGCATTTCCCTTGCTCAACGCCATGCAGAGTGCTCCACTGCTTCCTACTTTCAAATCTTGCTTTATTCCTTACCACCTTCTTGCTCCACACACACCCTTCGTACCAGCTGTTTCACATTCCTGTCACTTTAATTCCATTCATTCCATCTAAACTTTTTTTTAAATCTCCTTAGCTTTGTTATAAACTGCACGTCTTCAAATAGTTAGTGGAACCTTCACCTTTGTGAGGTTCTCCTAAGCAAAATTCGATCATCCCTTTCTCCATGCTACTAAGTGTCCTGCAATTTTTCACACGGTTGATACATCACTGTCTCTCTCCATCCTTTACCTATCTGCCCTCTAGGAGAAGAAGCTATGCCTATTTCTTCCAAGCAACAGACCTCACAGATTAATTGCCTTCAGTATGTGTTCACTCAAAGAAAAAAATACATGATGCTGTTGAGGGTGTGGCAAAATGAGCATGCTCAGACATGGATGAGAAATTGATACAATCTTCCAGGGAGGCATTTAGCAATACATTTGTGGGTCTTAACGTTCTCAAATCCTTTGACCCATTTCAAGATACATATCACAAAAATTAAACCAAAGATTCAGATCCAAGAATTTTTAACAAAGTCTTCTTTGAAATAGTGAATAGCCAATCCCCAAAAAACAAATGCTGAATGTTTTCTCTGATATAAGGAGGTTGATTCATAGTGGGGTAGGGAGGGGGAGCATGGGAGGAATAGATGAACTCTAGATAGGACAGAGGGGTGGGAGGGGAAGAGAGGGGTCATCGGGTTAAAATGATGGTGGAATGTGATGGACATTATTATCCAAAGTATATGTATGAAGACATGAATTGGTGTGAATATACATTGTATACAACCAGAGATATGAAAAATTATGCTCAATATGTGTAATAAGAATTATAATTCGTTCCGCTGTCATATATAAATAAAAAATTAATTAAACAAAGAAATAATGAAAAATTGGAAATGAGTGTAATATTTTTAAAAAGAGAGTTAAGTGAATTATAGAGCCTCCTCAGGATGGAATAATATATCATACCTGATAACATAGGGGATAACTTAATGATATACTGTAAAATGAAATATTTATAAAATGAGTCCCACAATAGTCTGACTTAATTTTTCAGCCTTACAATGGCACAAAAGCAGACCCATATAAACATTCTGGTCTTCTACTTTTTCAGTATAGTATTCAAGGAATTAACTTTTATTAATTAATGAATTAATTAATAAAATACACTTGGTGTCAGGTGCTTTTGCCCAACTGTAAGCTAAACTGATTTTTCTGAGCACATTTACAGTAAACTAGGCCAAGCTCTTATGTTCAGTAAGTTAGATGCATTAAATGTACTTTAAACTTACAATATTTTCAGCTTATAATGGTTTTATTGGGATGTAACTCCAATGTAAGTCATGGTTCTCTGTATAATATTTCTTATTTCTGCTTCCAGTTTTACAGAATTAACTGCTATAATAATAATAATTTCCTTTCTGTTGTAAAATAGCAAAATATATATAACAGTTTTTTTGGGCATTGGAAAACAAACAG